GTCATTCTGCCGAGCCGCTGCCTTTAACAGCTCATCCAGGGGACTGAGAACCATAAATATCCCAAACTTGTCACTCTGCCGAGCCGCTGCCTTTAACTGATAATACTGTTGCTGTGCGATCAGTACAATATCTTCAACATGCTAGTGAACTGCTTCTTTATACCACATTTGGGGGTCATAAATAAGACCCCCTCTCTTCAGCTTGTCAAATTATTCTTTTTGAAAAGAAAATGCATAATTTTATTAAGTGAAAATCTTTTGCAACCATATTTTTTCCTGAGAAAATGGCCTTTGGACTTTTTTACGTGGAGGCTTTCAAATCTGTGACTGTTGCTGCTTCTTATGTACATTGATATATTTCTTGCTTTCTTAGTGTTTCTAACAAATGGTTAGCCAAAAGAAAACATAAACAAAATATCACAGAAGAACAGAAAAAGGTTATCGCTACATGTTCATGTTTTTATCACGAGGACCAGGCAGGAGTCCAGCCACCAAATGCTTGCGAAAGCTGTTGTACCGCAGCGATCAGTAGACGATCTGAGTTGCGAGCTCCGATTATCTGAAAAATTTTCTGATTTCTCTGTGCACACAGAAAAGTAGAATAAATTTATTTTTCTGTGCTAAAAATGCAAAAAACATTATGCGCTTTTATTTCTTCCAAGTTGTTTGGAAGCAACAGAATTTACCTGAACACCAAGTGGTAATCCATTGCTATCTAGTCCCATTGGGCATTCTGCTGCAGGAAGTGTCAACACATTAAAGAGGCTGGTATATGCAAAATCTAGTGGAGTAAAAACCGGCTGATTATGGTATGGAGCCGTTGTGGGCCATCTAAAAATCGATAAATCGACTTTTTTAAGCTTATCATATTCATTAAATAAACACTGGAAAATAGGGCTTACGATGGGAAAAAGAGAATGCCATCCTTGCCAAGCAATTCGGTAAGCTGCCGAGTCATGCGTTCACGCAGTCGATCAAGCTGAAATTCCTTAGTTGAAGACATACTTCAAAAAGTATGGTTATCCGTGGATGCAACTATCTGGAAGGTATTAATCAACCGTTGCCCGAA